TAACCGGACGCAAGAGAGAGAGATCAGATCAGCTGCTGAGTCTGACAGAGACACGCTGCATGATCACCTGATGCTCCGCCCTCTGTTTAGCGAGCTGGACTGCGCAAAATGCGTATATGAAGTAATCTTACCCTCGTGGGGGCGCGCTCATGTGATTGGCTTAGAATGAAGGAGACATCTGATTGGCTATAGATAGAAAAATTACAAGTACGAATCGGCTGACCGTCAGGGGAGTCTCAAAAAACCCACACACGAATGCAAAGCGATCCGTGCACAGAAAGCTGTTTGTGTTTGCAGGTTCAGGGGATTTAAACGGGAAACTAATAAGTGAGGATCAAAAATACATATGTAAAACTTTTTTCTGTATTTGGATTTTATTTACATGTATATGAAACGGAACACATTTGTGTGTGCATTGAAAAACACAAGTATGGATCCGGAAATACAAGTGTGAATCATTTTGCGGATCATGAAATAGAAGTGTGAATCCATCTGTGTGCATGTGTGTATTATGAGACTGTTCTGAGCCCATAGATGTGAATATGTTAGAATATGTGTGAGAACGGAAAAACACTTCCGTATTATCTAAAAAGTTCTCACCTGGAAACAACCAATTCATGTTTTGTTTTTTTATTACTAAGTGTACTGATTATGCAGGAAGGACTTTCAAAGCAGCTGCATTTCTTAAAGGGGACCTATCATGCAAAATGCACTTGTTGATGTCTCTTATACATAAACATGTGTCCCCGGTGTGTCGGGGAACTCACGCAGCGTCAGGAAATAAAACCCTCTCTCTTTTCCTCCTTACCCAAATCTCTAAAAACGGGGGAACGATCCAGATTTGTGTCCGATATGACGTAATATCTGAAATGTGGACCCACGGGCCAATCAGAAACGTTGCTATCAGAAACAATGCCCGACTGTTTTGGACGGAATATGGTCGGTGTTTACATTAGCATCGCTAACACTCAGAGCTAACCTGTACTGGAGAGCATGTGTGTGAAGAAGCAGGAAGTAAAAAGGAACTCACCTTGTGGTATAACCGGCAAGAGAGAAAGCCTTTGAGCTCCAAACTGTTTCAGAGAGAATCCTTGATAATCCATGATATGGCGTTTCATCACGGCAGCATTTAGTTTAGACAGTAGCTGCCGGGTCCCGCATGAGCTCAGACCCCTCCTTTTTTTTAATCAATTTTTTCTTTTTTAAAGCTTTATACCCCAAATCAGCACTTTTGAAACAGGAAGTGAAATAGAGGGATATGAGGCATGGCTAGAATGGGTGATCTGTTTGGTATTTTGAGCAAAACACTTCATAGACATGTTTTTTATATATTTGTATACATCTGAGACCTATGCTATTGCTTAAAAATAGCATTATATGTCCACGTTAAGTTTCCAGGACTTATTTTGTACTGTAATTCATAATTTTAGTGTCCAATGTCACAAAAATAACTTAAAAGCATTCTTTTCCTGAATTAGGATGTAATCAAAGACATTGGGATTTAATATCACCAAACATATGTGTGCTAGGATGCTTAACGCAGGTCAAACATAATCTCCCGTTTCTCACCGTAGTTCAGCTCCAGGTGCATATCATAAAATACTGTATGTGTTAGACTTTAACATCCTGTGCACGTGTTAGGAAAACCAGGATTTAATTTCACCAGATCAGCAGTAAGAACTTTAACTACAAATCATGTAAAACAGAGAAAACCTGTTTTGTTTTACGAGCGAGGCAACGGAAGCCAGCTGATAAACCCTTTTGGCAAACAGGAGGCGTTTCCCAGTTGTGGAAAAGTCAAACAGTGACATAAAAAAAAACAAATAGAGGGGCTATTAGTTGGACAGTGTGCATGTTTCACTGTTTACCTGTCCCTACTGCACCTATTTGAACAGGTGTGTGTGTGTGTGTGTGTGTGTGTGTGTGTGTGTGTGTGTGTGTGTGTGTGTGCAGAGTACATAAACTACAATCAATTATTGTTAAGGCCATATCCTGAGTTCAGAGTGAGACTCACTGTAACTCAATAAGCGTGAGTGTCAGGTCTCCTTCCTCCTCTTCTTCTTCGTTCTCTATCCACTCCCTCCTCCTCCTCCTCCTCCTCCTCCTCCTCCCCCCCCCCCCCCCCCTTGTATACCTTTGAAAAAAAGATAATCCTCCGGTTGTTCAGGGACAGACAGGAAGCGGCAGAGAACAGAAGAAGAAGGTCTGTTGACTCAGTTGGGAGCTAAAGATAATGTTTGTCTTCCTTCTTGTGCCGAAACAACTTCACCATGTGGGGTGAGATGATGGTAAACACAAAGAGGGGGGAGGTTCAATGATTAGCTTTTGAAAGCAGAAATGTTTATATAGCTTTAAGAGAATTTTTTTCCTGAATGACAGCCTCGCTTCACTTACTTAATTGTCTTTGTTAGAAAGTAAATGGTAAATGGACTGTACTTATAAAGTGCTTTACATACTACATGTCATTCACCCATTCATACAGAGCATATATTTGAAATATATATTGTAGGGCCATACCTATACAAAACATGTCTGTGAAGTTTTTCAAAATATCAAACAGATCACCGTTGTAGCCACGCCTCTTACTGCTCATACCCCTCTTTGGAAGCCCTGTTAGAGAAACGCAGATTTTGGGTCCTTAGCTTTAAAAAAAGAAAGAAGAGGAGGCGGAGCTAATGCCTGATCAGAATTGTACCGGAGATAAAGTTAAATTCTGCTGTGATAAAACGCCATCCTGTTCTAAACCACATCAAGGATTATTTCTGAAACAGTATGGAGCTCAAATGCTTTTTCTCTAGCGGGTTTATCACAAGGTGAGTTCCTTTTTTTATTTCCTGGTTTTTAAACACATAATAACAGGGGAATTGTTTTTCTGGATAAACAGTTTTCAATGTTGTAAACACCGCAGATATATTTTAATCAGAGAAAAGGATGATAGCTCAAATCCTTGACAAAAGACAACAACAGGCACGGCTAGATACCCTGGAGATAAGAGGAAACACATCCTACATTTTGGGTAAACTGACCTTTTACATGAACAAACAAAATGAAAGATTATAGTTTTTCAGAAGCTCAGACCAGACGCATGACAGATAACTGATATCCCATCAGATGTTAAGAAACCAATCTAAGATATGACAACAATGTTCCCACAGATGATAACTCAAGGACAACAAAATAAACACAAACAAACAAAGGTCAGCAGTAAACCGTTAGCATGCGTTGTGGAGAGTAAACAACCAAGCTCCTTCCTCAATATCAACAGAGCTCCTCCGCCTCCAGGAAGCTATTAACAGGTTATTGGATCGTGTTCACAACGCATTTACACACACACACACACACACCATGTATACACCACTTCAGGGGACATTACATTGACTTACATGCATTTCCTGGAGACTTATCCTAACCCTAACCCTTACCCTAACCAAGTCTTCACCCTAAAAGTAATGATTCCCCTAGACCACACACACACACACACACACACACACACACACACACACACACACACACACACACACACACACAGTAAAGTAAGGCCTGTGTGCACTTAATGAGATCGAAGTGGAAGTGACGGTGGAGATTGGTTGTTAAATGTTCTCTTGTGATCTCTCTTTCCTGCTTTTGCAAACAAGTGTGTGAGTGAGTTCTTGGGTTTCATAAACACAGGACCAATGTATTTCTTCACTCGGAGTGACTTTAACAAGAACGGTCCATATACAGTCTTATAAATCATAATAATTGAAACAAGCGCTTCTCGTCCATGTCTGTTCAAAGTTGAGCTTGACATTAAACGGCTTGACCCCGGAAACACCTGTTGACAAAACAATGTTAGCTCAGTGTTTCCACGACAACGTGATATGCCCTTAAAGAAATGATGGAGTATTGCGACATTTATTTTGTCATTTAGAAAGTCTTCACTTTCCTCTAATTTAGATATCTTGCCGAATTCAGTACACAACCCAAAGAAACCATAGCCCAAAACAAAGACCAGAACTATAGCAAGATACATTATATATATAGTATAGTCTTAGATTTCCTCATTACATTTATATATCGCTTACTTTTTTTGATGCTACTTATTGTTGTTCCATGTATGTGTACTTATTGGATTTTCTTTTATGAACGTGCACGTTCATAAAAGAAAATCCAATACATGTGTTTGCGTCTTTATTTAAAGGTCCCATGTCATGGCCATTTCCACTGATCATAATTCCATTGTTGAGGTCTACTAGAATACATTTATATTGTGCAATTTTCCAAACTCACATTGGTTTCTCAGAGCATCTCAGTAAACTACGTGTATTCACTGAATTTCACTCTCTGCCTTTAACGGCTCGTTGTAGCTCCAATAGCTGCAGCCCCCACCCTCCCTGTGAGCACAGTGTGCTCTGATTGGTCGGGACGTTGTGAATCGCGCTGAGCTCCGTGGAGGTGTGGTTTCCTTGTTTAGCGATACACAGCGAAACACAGCGAAACTCACCCTGAGCACACACAAAGTCACAGCCGAAGTACAAACAATAAGTGTGGCTTGATATTGAGTAAGAAAAGGGTTGATAAACGCTGTGAGAATGGGTCCGCAGAGAGAATGGGTCTGCAGAGAGAATGGGTCTGCAGAGAGAACGGGTCTGCAGAGAGAACGGGTCTGCAGAGAGAATGGGTCTGCAGAGAGAATTTCGCCGCGATCCCAACTGTCTGTTATCAGCCTGCAGCCAGGGAGGAGACATCAGCAGAGCTGCTTGCACTGAGTGTGTGAGGAAGTCCGTGGATTGGTCAATTTGGACCAATCAGCGGGGGCTTAACGTAACGGCTCCGCGGACGTAACGTAACGGCTCCACGGATTGGTCCATTTCGTTCCGGGTACGGTTGACATCATGCGTACCCGGAAGAATCAAATGGACAGTGACGTATCTCCAACGAGGCGTTTTGGGGAGGTATTTTCTGTGTTACGAGTTTTACTCGCTACAGGGTGTACTTTGAGGGTTTTGACTCTGCAGACCGTTTACATGCAGAAAAACCTTCATAACACACAAGGGGGCGGGTACTAACCGGAAAAGCATGACATGGGACCTTTAATATGATACTACTCCACCGATCTTATTTTTTCCTTGTACTATAATGTCTGTTCCCGCTGTGGGACCAATAAAGGATTATAACTTTTCGATGATGTAAGTTTGATGCATATTCAGGCACATAATTCAATGAAGATATTGAAGAATGAAGAGCACAACAGCGTAGGGAACTACTAGACACGTATATTAGCTTCTCGTCTAGTGTTGGAACTTCTACCGGAAGAATCAAAGTGTAGGATCTCTCAAGTAAAGGAAGTAATATGTGTGTTTGATAAAAAGGACTGTGATGATGAACTAAACAGACATAGAAACAGGAGGTTCTGTTTTTTTACTTTACCCATGAATGCATCTTGTGTTTTGAAACCTTTCTCTAGTCTTCTCTTGGTAGTGGGTGAACTGGAGGAGGCCACAGTACTTTATGTCACTAGGAGATAGAAAAGGATGCAGGAGGAGGAACCAGTGAAGCCAGAGAGGAAGTGCAGGATGTGGTGTGGAGAGCAGACAGCAGCCAGCGGAGAGCTCGCTCTTTGTGTGGCTGTTTTACTGCTTCCTCCCGACCGGACCGCATCGCTCACCACATCTCCACCGCTGGAGAAACATCAACAGCTCCAGTCTCCACGCCGGGCGACAGAAGCCAAAACATTTCACAGTCAGCTGCGGAGACGAGAGGCTCTTTGACACGTGTCACAGAAACTACATTTAATAACACATGAGAGGTACAGGGCTGTGAGGAAGCACGGAACAAGGAGTGGTTGGTGATATTACGGAGCGTCCACACAGCAGCGTGCGTTGACGCTTGGCGGTGAGCGTGTCTGAAGCTTGGGGATTTTTTGCAAGCAACGCGACCAACAACCAATCACATGAATCTCCCGCCCCCGACATACAAAGCAATAGCAATGTTAAAACGAAGTAAACTGGATATAAAATCCCCAAACAGGCGAAAACCTACCAGTTTCACCCACTGTCTCTGCCACCTCCCTCCATGCCTCGCTCCTCCGGTTTGTATCCCGGTAGATGAACAGAGACTGATCATACAGCACCGGGTGATTCTCTACCGCTATAATGAATTTTCCCTCCATTTTTTTGAATATGAGGAAATGACCTGCGTAGTCTCTCCCAGCATACACGCGGTTTGATTGGCTAGCTCTTGTACTGGCAGATTTACATAAACGGGATTTCATTGGCTGACGCTTCTGCCGAGGCGCCAAAAGTTGAACATTGCTCAACTTTTGACGCCAGCTACGCTCCACGTCGCTTCCCAAAATGCAGTTCGGCTAAAAGTGACGTCACCCCATTCAAAGTGAATGGACAGAAGCGTTACGGCCCGTCTACACTACAGGCATCAAAAAATGCTTTCAACGCTTCGCCCATTCATTTGAATGGGGTGACGTAGGATATTTTCAAACTTCGCCGAACTGCATTGTGGGTAGCTTGGCAAGGCGTTGCAAGCGTCGCGAGCGTCAAAAGTTGAACAATGTTCAACTTTTGAGGCTCGGTGCTTTCTCGAAGCTGGCATCAGCCAATCAAATCCCGTTTTTGCAATTCCCGCCAGTACAAGCGCTAGCCAATCAAACCGCGTGTATGCTGATCCCGCAGGTCTTGACTATTTTCCATATGTCATAAAATGGAGGACAAATTAATCATTGCTGTGGCAAATGTCCCAGTCCTGTATGACTGTACTCTGTTCACCTACCGGGACCTAAACCGGAGGAACCAGGCATGGCGGGAGGTGGCAGAGACAGTTGGTGAAACTGGTAGGTTTTCAACTGTTTGGGGAGTTTATATCCAGTTTACTTCGTTTTAGCATTGAATGGACAGCTAGTAATGTAGCATAATAACATATAACATATAATATATATTAATATAATAATAAAAAAACATTATAATAAGCATAATATATAACATAACACATGCACAGCTATCAAGCATATACAGTATATTTAGCCAGCTAGTAATGTAGCATAACATATAATATATATTAATAAAAAATATTATATATAATATAAAAGTATAAGCATAATATATAACATAATACATGCAGAGGGTGTCGTTTTTCTCATACTGATATTCTGAACAATCTGTGCTGTTGTATTTGCTGTAAAGTGTCTCTACTGTAGGCTAATTTTATTATATGTACAATTTGGATTTGAATTTGGATCACCACGTGCTTCCCATCAATGGCACCAACGCAATTTGGAAAGTTCCAGCGCTCCTGGAACCCAGCAGCGATGGCTCTCCAGTCCTCCGTCTGTGGTACCGGCATGGTCTCCTCGACCAGCGCGGTCCAGATGGCACCCGCAACCTCCTTGACGATGACAGCCACTGTTGCATGCCCGACCCGATAGCTGAATGCTATGGTCCTGTACGAGTCACCGGTTGCCAGGTACCTGAGAAAAAAGTAATATACAAGATTTAAAAAAAAAAAGTTATACGCCACGCAGACACACACACCACAGGCACACACATCACAGACACACACACACCACAGACACACACATCACACAGACACCACAAACACACCAACATACCACAGACACACACACATCACAGACACACACACACCACAGACAGACACACCAACATACCACACACACACACACACACACACACACCCACACACACACACACACACCACACACACACACACACACACACACACACACACACACACACACACACACACAGGGGAGCAATACTGCGTTTACCTAGCTATCTTAATTAATGTCATTCATCTGAACTACATCAGACTTCATTCATCCATTGCATGCATTCTCTCTCTTTATATACAGAGTCATATTAAAGAAGTAGAAATACACAAAACGTACCGTAGGCAGATGGCGAGTCGCTCGGCGGGTCCGATTGACAAACGCATACGGATGTCTGCCTTTGCAATCAGTGGACCGACTTTTCCGAGCAACTCGTCGAACGCGTCTTTGCTCATCCTGAAGTACTGCTGAAACAGTACACCATCCAGGCGGAGCTCTTGGACAAGAACGTGGTATTCCCCCCGTTGCAGACGTTTTCTGAGTATTGTATGTACCCAACAGCGACGCACTATACGTGGCCTCCTGCGAGACATCACCGTTGCTACAAAACCGGCATCCATTTTGGCAATAGTGTAGAAGAACCGGGCTTTTTTTTGCTTTGTATGCAGGGGGCGGGCGGGAGATTCCTGATTGGTTGTTGGTCGCCTTGGGCGCGAGAAAGCGCCAAGCCTCAGACACGCTCAGCTTCAAGCTTTTTCGACGCCTGTAGTGTAGACGGGCTGTTATGGTACGTCCACACAGCAGCTTTTCAAAAATCTGGGCGTGTCTGAAAGCTTGGGGATTTTTTGCGACCAACAACCAATCACATGAATCTCCCGCCCCCGACATACAAAGCAAAAAACCCCGGGGATTTTATGCGAGCAATATATATATATATATATATATAAACTCCCCAAACAGGCGAAAACCTACCAGTTTCACCCACTGTCTCTGCCACCTCCCTCCATGCCTGGTTCCTCCGGTTTGTATCCCGGTAAATAGTCTGGTCGTAAAGAACCGGGTGATTTGCTACCGTAATTTCTCGTTTGGAATATGAGGAAATGAACTGCGGTCTGGCTCTCCCTGCTTACACGCGGTTTGATTGGCTAGCGCTTCTACTGTCAGATTTGCATAAACGTGATTTGATTGGCTGACGCTTCCAGCTCAGCTTCAAAAGTTGAACATTGCTCAACTTTTGAATCCTGGAAATCCTGGAAATCTTCGCTTCGCTCCCCCACAATGCAGTTCGGCGAAAAGCGAGGCAAAGTGACGTCATCCCCATTCAAAGTCAATGGGCAGAGAAGCGGTGGAAGATAAGCTGCTGTGTGGACGTACCGTTACGGCCCGTCTACACTACAGGCATCGAAAAATCTTGAAGCTGGGCGTGTCTGAAGCTTGGCGATTTTTTGCGAGCAACGCGACCAACAACCAATCACATGAATCTCCCGCCCCCGACATACAAAGCAATAACAATGTTAAAACGAAGTAAACTGGATATAAAATCCCCAAACAGGCGAAAACCTACCAGTTTCACCCACTGTCTCTGCCACCTCCCTCCATGCCTGGCTCCTCCGGTTTGTATCCCGTTAATAGTTCTGGTCGTAAAGAACCGGGTGATTTGCTACCGTAATTTCTCGTTTGGAATATGAGGAAATGAACTGCGGTCTGGCTCTCCCAGCTTGCACGCGGTTTGATTGGCTAGCGCTTGTACTGGCGGGAATTGCAAAAACGGGATTTGATTGGCTGATGCCAGCTTCGAGCAAGCATCGAGCCTTAAAAGTTGAACATTGCTCAACTTTTGACGCCGATAGACGCTCGCGATGCTTGCAACGCCTTGCCATGCTACCCACAATGCAGTTCGGCGAAGTTTGAAAATATCCTACGTCACCCCATTCAAATGAATGGGCGAAGCGTTGAAAGCATTTTTTGACGCCTGTAGTGTAGACGGGCCGTCAGTGTTGCTTTCTTTGCCATTTATGAGGCATGAGGATCAAAGATCATAACATGACTTAGTTTATCTCTTTTTGTATTTTTTATTCTCTGTCAAAGCGTCTTAGAGTTTCCTGAAAAGCGCTATACAAGTCTCATGTATTATTAATATTATTAAAGAAAAGGTGATTTGATAAAGAAAATTCATAAGATATACGGTACACTAACTGTTTACATAATGCTATCATCAGTTAGAAATATTAGATTTAGGCTGTGAAAACTCCACTCATGACGTGTCAAATTCCACTGTGCTCAGAAACAAAGGGGCAGATTGTAGATTTAATAGACAGTAAACTTAGTCACACCTTCTTCGTGATATATTCAAAATACAAATCTGAATGTGTGTAAGGCCTTTGTCTTGACCGAGATAAAGACATTACTACAAACTTTAGTGCAATATAGTTCTTCATTTATTCATATAAATTATATTTGAGGCAATATGCAGCACATTATAAAGCTACCACAATAAGGAGCCATCAACTGCACATGTAAAACACAACACACACACACACACACACACACACACACACACACACACACACACAACACACACACACACACACACACACACACACACACACACACACACCACACACACACACACACACACACACACACACACACACACACACATTCACACACACACAGAGGTCATCGAGCACACAAGCACCGTCTGTTTTCATAGCTGCAGCTGTCCTGATTGGACGTAACATCCATATCAAAAACCAAAAACATGCACACACACATACAAACACATACGCACACAAACATACAAACACACACGGAATGTCCCGGCCAGACTATGCTTGGCTGTGCAGCTGGATATCCTTAAGAGGTGTAGAAAGACATGAAGAGAATATCCTGGTCACACACACACACACACACACACACACACACACACACACACACACACACACACACACACACACACACACACACACACACACACACACACACACACACACACACACACACACAACACACACACACACACACACACACACACACACACCACACACACACACACACACACACACACCACACACACACACACACACACACACACACACACACACACACCCACACACACACAACACACACACACCCACACACACACACACACACACCACACACACCCTGATTAACCCTCTGACTCCTGAGATGAGAGACCACCAAGGTCGACATTTAGACACACAGACAGACAGACACAAAACACACCCATGTGAAGCATTTCAACTCATTGCGTTGTGTGTGTTGCAGTGTGTGTTGCAGTGTGTGTTGCAGTTTGTGTGTGTGGCAGGGCGAGGTCGTCCTCAGGTGAAATGGACAGGTGATCCGTCCGTCTCCTGGCTCCTCTCTCCTGATTGGACGTCCTTCAGGATCTGGGACTGGTTGAGGAGACACTCCTTCAGCTTGTCCTCCGTCAGCGTGAGACGCTCCTCCGCACCGACACCGTCTTTGTGTTTGAGGAGGAGGAGGGGGAGGAGGAGGAGGAGGGAGGAGGAGGAGGAGGAGGAGGAGGAGGAGGAGGAGGAGGGAGAATAATTAGGAATCACTCATTTTGGAAATATCACATAAGAGCTCAGAGAGACAGACAAGTTCTTGTTTCTTTCAAAAGAGAAGCATTTTGGCCTTGATGCTGAACAAAGACATTCACCAGCCTGTTTTTATTATTAAATTCGACCAAAAAGTTTAACCTTTCTTTAAAAAACATACTCGTCCAGAAGGAGTTACAGTTCATCACGTCGAATTTGTTTATGAATGAACAGTTATTTAAAAAAGTATTCATGTCTAGATTGGGTTTCAGTTCATCACAAGAACTGTAAATGCACCAATTTTTAACTCGTGAAGTTTTGTCTGCCTATTCCTCCCAAATGGAGGATACATCTAGACGTAATAATTAGTAGACGAGCATTTTCTGGAGGGGATATTTATGAGAAAACGCACAGCAAACTCGTGATGTATACATCCTGATCTGATGACTTTTTAATCATACAAGTTGATAAATACATAAATGCGATATGAAAACATACAGGAATTGAAGAAAAGACAGTTTTTTTTGTCCGCAAACCATCCTTTCTTGAACTTTAATGCTATACAATTGGTATTTTTTAACTATATTTAATCGGATGAAGGATTTTAGTCACGGACGTCTGGATCTTAAGTTATCAGAGCAACAAGCTGAGCTAGCTCGGTTAGCAGCGCCGAACTGGAGAAACACAAGAAACAACTTTATTCAGTGTTTTTACCTTTAATCACGGGGTCCGTTTGCTTTGGAGATTTGATTGTGATTGGTGGTTTGCTGTCACCCCACTCAAGTACCCCTGACATGAGAGCCACACAAGTTTTCCTTTTGTAGCAAGCAGCAAAATAATTGTAACATGACGTGTTTGAGTTAATTTGTCGAACATCCCAATTTTTTTTTTTTTTAAATTAAAAAAATCGCACGTCCTGCGATGTGAATATCGCGCATACCACGATTATCGTCACGACACGATAAGTCGTGCAGCCCTAGTATAAACGGTGAAACTCATTGCCAAAAAAGTTGTCACACTTTGTAAACAACATACTTTGCATTGTTTGCTTATGCACCAGCCCCAAACAAATACAAAATAAGAAAGAAATGTGAAATTAAATACATTCGTCAAAAAATCGCCCAGTCTCAAACCGCTTCCGAAAGATGAATCATTAGCTTTCTTTGTCTGATTATCTACTAGTGCTGCCTGCTCCAAGGTGAGGAGGGGAGAAACCATTAAACCCACTGCTGTGACTTTTTTCATGGCGTCTTTATTTGACTTGGCCTCAAATGGAAAAATTGAAGTTTCACAGAGGGGATTAAAAACCCTAACCCTGCATCAACCTTTCCTATTAAGAGAAAAACAACAGACCAAGACTTTTTGATAAGTTAATGTGATCCGACTCCGGGATTAATGTATTTTAACAGTAACCTGCTGGCGTTTCTCAATCTTTATGATGATTTTGGGGGGTTTCATTTGCATTCTGGGGGTTTGCTTTGCTTTGCTCAAAAACTGACCTGTGTGAGAATATCCAGCTGTTTAACAATGTGCCGCAGGGTAGAGTCCAGACTGGAGGGAGGAGCGGAGAGAACTTCAAGTGGGTAGGTCTGCCCTCTCTCCTCTTCCTCATCTTCCTCCTCTTCATCCTCCTCCTCTCTCCTTCCTCTTCCTCCCCCGTTTCCCCCAGTCCAAACAGAGGCACCACCTGCCAGACATGGGAAGTAGAAAAACTTTGTTACTGTACTTAAGTACATGTTTCTGGTATCAGTACTTTACTCCACTACTTATTTTTCTGACGACTTTTGACTTCTTACATTTTGAACCCAAATACCTGTACTTTCTACTTCTTACATGTTGAACACAAATACCTGTACTTTCTACTTCTTACATGTTGAACCCAAATACCTGTACTTTCTACTTCTCACATGTTGAACACAAATACCTGTACTTTCTACTTCTTACATGTTAAACCCAAATACCTGTACTTTCTACTTCTTACATGTTGAACACAAATACCTGTACTTTCTACTTCTTACATGTTGAACACAAATACCTGTACTTTCTACTTCTTACATTTTGAACCCAAATACCTGTACTTTCTACTTCTTACATGTTGAACTCAAATACCTGTACTTTCTACTTCTTACATGTTGAACTCAAATACCTGTACTTTCTACTTCTTACATGTTGAACCCAAATACCTGTACTTTCTACTTCTTACATGTTGAACTCAAATACCTGTACTTTCTACTTCTTACATGTTGAACCCAAATACCTGTACTTTCTACTTCTTACATGTTGAACTCAAATACCTGTACTTTCTACTTCTTACATGTTGAACCCAAACACCTGTACTTTCTACATCTTACATGTTGAACCCAAACACCTGTACTTTCTACTTCTTACATGTTGAACTCAAATACCTGTACTTTCTACATCTTACATGTTGAACACAAATACCTGTACTTTCTACTTCTTACATGTTGAACACAAATACCTGTACTTTCTACTTCTTACATGTTGAACCCAAACACCTGTACTTTCTACTTCTTACATGTTGAACTGAAATACCTGTACTTTCTACTTCTCTCATTTCCCAAACAGCTGGTTCCTTTAGTCTGAATGTGTGTTTGGTGCGTGATCATTATTCTTTAGAGTCATTGCGTGCCTATTGATTTGAACACGATCCGTGTATCCATCATTTCCTGGTCTTCTCTAAAGAAGAGGGACCAATGGAAACGTTGTCATGTTGCCGTTGTTCAGCATGGAAACATTCATTAGCTAACAATGACATTATTGTTCTATTAATATAAAGGGAGGTCAGGTACTCTTTAAAACAGCTGCTAGTTATGGGTACTTTCTACTGAAGTACATTTCAAAGCCTCTTTACTTTTACTTGAGTAAAGAAGTTTAGTCAGTACTTCTACTTCTACCAGAGTATTTTTAAACACGAGTATATGTACTTCTACTTGAGGAAAGGATGTGTGTACGTTTTGCCCTGCTGGTGCTCTCGTCTCCCATCCATCCTCCCACTCCTGAACTGGCTCTGTTTCGCGCCGGCAAACCGTTGGAGAGGTGACCGTTGGCTGCGGCCTGCGTGGGTGTCAAGTGTGTTCGACCGTTTAAGAGCTGGAGATGAAAGAGAGAGAGACAGAGAGAAAGACTGGTGTTCAGCCGATTGATCTTCAGGGCATTGTGCATTGTCTTGTGTTTGTGAGGGTGTTTTCTTTCTTTAGTGCTCTGCTCAGCTCTGCCATGAATGATGTTCTCATCAAATGCTTTGTACGGCAGAACCCACACTAAATGAAATCATCATTCGTTAGTTAGTTAGTTAGTAGTTAGTAGTTAGTTAGTTTAGTTAGTTAGTTAGTTAGTTAGTTAGTTAGTTAGTTAGTTAGTTAGTTAGTTAGTTAGTTAGTTAGTTAGTTAGTTAGTTAGTTAGTTAGTTAGTTAGTTAGGTAGGTAGGTAGGTAGGTAGGTAGGTAGGTAGGTAGGTAGGTAGGTAGGTAGGTAGGTAGGTAGGTAGGTAGGTAGGTAGGTAGGTAGGTAGGTAGGTAGGTAGGTAGGTAGGTAGGTAGGTAGGTGGGTGGGTGGATGGATGGATGGATAGATGGATATCGATAATATAATATCCATTATTGGATGGAGATACATTTCAGATCTGAGTCTCATCACTAATAAAACACAATACATGATGAGCCTTTCCATCCAGCGTGCTTTAAGGCCCCGTCTGAAATGTACAGGAATCAGAGAATGAATTAGACTTGCTAATGGGAGTTGATGACACTTAATGCCGTGCAGGTTTAACCACCATGCTTCCTGTGTCATTGTTCTGTCCTCCGTGCAGCCTTGAGCGTGTTGTAACTCGACTGAAGCAGGAGGATGACTCACGGCTGGATTACTGACTTAACCACAGACTCTTCACCCCGACTTACTAACCAAGTTTCACAAGGTTTATTAGCACTCTACGGAGAGCGATAGCCACACCGCGTAATGTACTTTTAAAGAAATGTAACCTTTACTTTTAATGGGAGCGGTCGTGACAAAATGATTTCCCTTTTCATGAGCAAAGAAACGCACGAACAATGAGAGAGAGAGAACATTATGTTCAGTGTAACCAGGGACACATTTTCCTCATTTATCCTGGCAGAGACAACTGAGCATGACTTCACATTGAAATGGTTTCACACATGCACAACAGAAACTTCACAGGAGAGGCACATTTTACTGGTGGCTGCAGAGAGGAGTGTTGTTGCGCAAGGACACCTTCAACAACATCCTGTGATTCAAACCAGCAGCTACGAGTCATGAGACTTCTGCTGCAACTTTGACGGAGAGCTTTCGATTAGTATGATAAGCAAGTCAAAGCAAAGAATAATTCATCTATTTCCTTTCTTTGTTAAATAGTTTTGTTCATTGCATTGTTGTAAGAGCCTGAGAATTAAAGAGGCCGTTTTATGCTTTTAGGGGGTGTCCCTTTCCTGTAGTGTTTTATATACGTTATTGTGCATGTAAATGGTCTGCAAAGGCTAAAATCGCAAATGTACATCCCCCTAGCACTCAAACATGTAGTAATTGATAGGCTAAGGGCAGGGACATCTCTAGATGTTGACCAATCACAACAGAGCCGGCCAGCTAACCAATCAGAGCAGACTGGGCTCTGGTTTCAGACAGAGGGTGAAAAAAGGGTGCTGCAGCACATGAGAAAAATAAAGAGCTTTTTGAACGTTAGAGCATGGAAGACATGTCCCAGTAGAGACACTACATACTGATATACACCTGAACATCAGCAGGAGAGGACTCTTTAAAGTAGAGACACTACATACTGGTATACACCTGAACATCAGCAGTAGAGGACTCTGTTAAAAGTAGAGACACTACATACTGATATACACCTGAACATCAGCAGGAGAGGACTCTTTAAAGTAGAGACACTACTACTGATTATACACCTGAACATCAGCAGGAGAGGACTCTTTAAAGGTAGAGACACTACATACTGATATACACCTGAACATCAGCAGGAGAGGACTCTTTAAGTAGAGACACTACATACTGATATACACCTGAACATCAGCAGGAGAGGACTCTTTAAAGTAGAGACACTACATACTGATATACACCTGAACATCAGCAGGAGAGGACTCTTTAAAGTAGAGACACTACATACTGGTATAACACCTGAACATCAGCAGGAGAGGACTCTTTAAAGTAGAGACACTACATACTGATATACACCTGAACATCAGCAGGAGAGGACTCTTTAAAGTAGAGACACTAACATACTGATATACACCTGAACATCAGCAGGAGAGGACTCCTTTAAAGTAGAGACACTACATACTGATATACACCTGAACATCAGCAGGAGAGGACTCTTTAAAGTAGAGACACTACATACTGATATACACCTGAACATCAAGCAGGAGAGGACTCTTTAAAGTAGAGACACTACATACTGATATACACCTGAACATCAGCAGGAGAGGACTCTTTAAAGTAGAGACACTACATACTGAGATACACCTGAACATCAGCAGGAGAGGACTCTTTAAAGTAGAACACTACATACTGATATACACCTGAACATCAGAAGGAGAGGACTCTTTAAAGTAGAGACACTACATACTGATATACACCTGAACATCAGCAGGAGAGGACTCTTTAAAGTAGAGACACTACATACTGATATACACCTGAACATCAGCAGGAGAGGACTCTTTAAAGTAGAGACACTACATACTGATATACACCTGAACATCAGCAGGAGAGGACTCTTTAAAGTAGAGACACTACATACTGATATACACCTGAACATCAGCAGGAGAGGACTCTTTAAAGTAGAGACACTACATACTGATATACACCTGAACATCAGCAGGAGAGGACTCTTTAAAGTAGAGACACTACATACTGATATACACCTGAACATCAGCAGGAGAGGACTCTTTAAAGTAGAGACACTACATACTGATATACACTGAACATCAGCAGGAGAGGACTCTTTAAAGTAGAGACACTACATACTGATATACACCTGAACATCAGCAGGAGAGGACTCTTTAAAGTAGAGACACTACATACTGATATACACCTGAACATCAGCAGGAGAGGACTCTTTAAAGTAGAGACACTACATACTGATATACACCTGAACATCAGCAGGAGAGGACTCTTTAAAGTAGAGACACTACATACTGATATACACCTGAACATCAGCAGGAGAGGACTCTTTAAAGTAGAGACACTACATACTGATATACACCTGAACATCAGCAGGAGAGACTCTTTAAAGTAGAGACACTACATACTGATATCACCGAACATCAGCAGGAGAGGACTCTTTAAAGTAGAGACACTACACTGATATACACCTGAACATCAGCAGGAGAGGACTCTTTAAAGTAGAGACACTACATACTGATATACACCTGAACATCAGCAGGAGAGGACTCTTTAAAGTAGAGACACTGCAGACTGATATACACCTGAACATCAGCAGGAGAGGACTCTTTAAAGTAGAGACACTACATACTGATATACACCTGAACATCAGCAGGAGAGGACTCTTTAAAGTAGAGACACTACATATCCCATAATCTAAAATGTTTTTTATGATAAACTGACAGATGAAAGTCAGCTTTTCTATGGCTAGAGGAGATAGAAAATGAGTTCCTACATTTGAAGTTATTAATCTAACTCTTGCATTATTTTTGTTCCATTTTCAGAAACAGACCACCAATGATTCATTCATCTGTTTATCATTAATTGCATAATTGTGACTCTTAAATGTCAGACAATGATTACCCAGGGCCAAAAGGTGATGTATTGAAATTGCTAGTTTCCTGAACCACAACAACATAATTGGACAATTTTCTAAAAATAACAGTACAACATACTTAAATTACATTTTTTGAAATGAACAAATCCTTAGTTTTTTTTGCTAGATAAGTGACTCATGATCAAAGAAAGAAAGATCACAGGGTTATTCTATGTCAACTAATTGATTGATTGATAATTAAAAAGTCATTATTTTAAAATGTTCCTAGC